CTACCTTTGAACTTGGAGTCAATCTCGGCAAAGAGGGTGTGGAGACTGAGGTTAGCATGGCAGCAGAAGTCGTCTATGGAGAGAAGTATGGCGAAGAAAAGATGGGTGCTTTCTTGAAAGACTTTTGCAGTAATGAAATTAAGAACAAAGAGGGTATGTCGGTCTGGGCAGATGCTATGTTGGATCTTGCTGCTAGGCTTAAGAAGACTGGAAGGAAGGGCGAGAGGAAGTAGCTTTGAGAAGACCATTTATGGCTAAGCTTGATGAGGAACGATGGCGTTTTAGGTTCTGGGACTTTGTTGGGAGGCTAAAGATACCAATTGCATATATTTTATTCTTCTTCTTCAAGATTGGAGTTTTTTGTACATACTTTTGAGCTTGTGATACTGCTGGATGTGCATACCATCTGCTATTGGCTTCGTACCTGCGGAGACGGTGATGGTGTCGTATATGCTGTATGACAAGGAGGGTTTTTCTCTACTGGGGTTTGCAAGTACAATCTCCAGCAGCGACGGGTTTAATTCTTCTGGAGTTTCCTTTGGGGGCTTAGTTGGGACAGTGTTTGCCTTGCTTGGCAGCTGAAGATTTACACAAGGCAAAAGCGTAGTCTCCTGCGGCGGGTGAAGTTAGAGGATCAGCTGGAACACTACGATACTCAGAGCGGTTCAGATGTATGGGTGGACACTGTTACAGCTTTGCCTCGCCAATCGGCTTTTGAAAAGGGTCGGAAAAGGGGTGGTTGGCTGAGTATACAATTCCTCAGGCTCAAGCACGTGAGCGATGGAATTATATCTAAATTCTCCTCCTCTTTCGCCTAATCTTCTCCATTCTTGCTTCTTCGTTTGCTTGGGAGGTTGTTAAAATTTCCGCTGCAATCAAACTGAATTCCTGCTATTGTAGTGGAATCTCGTCGACCCAATTCAGCAAATAAATCGTCTGACTTACCAAGGCTATGCCGGGGGGGGGGCATGACTTGATTTGTTCGGATGGGATATGCCAGTGCACACAAAATCACGAGTAAAAGTACACAAGGTGCTCCTGAAACAAAAAAATAACAACAACAAGTAGTTCTCGGTAATGCCGAGGTGGTTCGAGCAGGGCAATATCGGTGTGTTGAGAGTGAGATGTGCATTTTCGTTGAATGTTGCCGCGCGGGAGCCTGGCTGAGGCGTAAGTGTGCTGATCAGATGGGGATGTGATTGGTTACTATGCATCGTCTTCTTGAGTAGAAGTAAGATGGGCAAGCCAGAGCTTGAGTAGAATGGGTGGCCTAATCAATCAACATCTTATCTCTTGGCTATTATGTGCGTTGTCAGACACCTTGGCTGGAGCTTGAACACTTCGCGATAGTGTTTTGAGTCTCTTACTATTCAAGCAGCCTTGGGAATCGGCTTTCGTTCTAGTTCATTATTTCTCCTGTAGATATAAATGTATTGCTTGGTCATCGGTTCGTCTCTGTAATACTATTCTAGGTCATGACGTCAAGTCTGAAGCCTCGGCCCCTAGTCCATAATGTGTGGAGAAACCTGACAGCTCTATGGTCAAATATGTGTGATGTATATGACTGCTAGGGCATTGGCGTTTACCGAAAGCCCGTCGGGTATCCCCACTCCAGCTTCACGTGTTCGTCGGGGTTCCGAGATTACCACGGGTTTAACGGACATAATGTTAAGTACGTACCAATGTCAGCACCCTCGATAACGTCTTGAAAGATATTGATTACGACAAGTGTGCTATCTATGAAGCACTATGATTCAATATGACTCCTATGAGTATAATACTGACGCTCGATAAGGGGGATGGACGAGAACCGGAGGACGTTTCTCGCCATCGAAACGTAAACTTTACCTTGCTGACATTTCATTCTTTCTGCTTAACAAGACGGCCAGGCTGTATAGGTTGCGTCCTCGCTTATCCTGCATATCACCTCAGCCGCCATGTTTTAGAAGCGATCGCCGGCACATTAGCGGCCATTTGTCAGCGGAATGTGGCTTGCAGTTGCCCACGAAAACAACCGTTGACTTACAAATATCGGAGACTTTTTCTTCCAAGGCTTCGGACCAAAATCAAGTAAATGTCTGCGATTGGATCATGTGAGGTAAACCTACTGTGTGTTTTGGGAAGGGCGTTTAGTGTGTTCCTGCAACGATGTTGAGGCTGGAAGAGGAAACACAGCAAAGTTCTGTAGTAACTTAGGTTTGCGTTTTCCACAACCCCTTTTTCTTTTTGTGCAATCAGCGAGCGCCAGCAATTAAGGGCGTTGTCTGACTGCTTTTGTAGGCGCACTAGGGGCGGCCAGCCTCGCTTGCAGAACGGTCAGAATTGTAGGTGTAGGTAGCACATTGGGCTCACATGCTTTTCGAGACACTGATACACGCTTCGTGCACACCCTCTATTCGCTTCATATCCTCAATTCGTCCGGCACTCTGCTTGCTGTAAGATGTGTGGTTGCTTTTCCCCATGTCACTTTATGTCCGCTTACTCCGTTGCCTCCGCTGGCTCCACTGTGACACTTGGTTTCAAGCACTATCAGAAAGTTATCCGTCGAATCAACTGGCGTCAGACGACACGGCTAAGAGATAGACAACTACGTTTGCCTAATATCAGCCCTTTGCCAAGTGCCCAAGTCCCGGAATGTAAGATGCGCCCCATCGGAGGTTGTCGCCTAACTGGGTGTCACGGGAGGAATCTACGACACACATGGGATTTACTTCGTTTTTGCTACGCTTGACCGGTCCGGAAAGTTCTGTGCATGTCTGCTCCCCAGCCGTGTTTTCGTGTCACGCAAGAATCTGACACCCTCGCGTGGCTGGCCCTGCAGACGATGAAGTAAAGATAGAAACTACAATGAAGTATAAAGGGTCAAGGGGGGAACTTGGTTTGATACCACAGCACTTTCCAACTTCTCATCTAACAGACGCGCCTTCTCTGCGAGATAAGCGTTACCCCTTTTGAGAGGCTGAACTACAACGTTCCACTCAACCTTATCAGCCTTCACAAAAGATCTTTCTGTTAGCATTCAACACGTCCTGTATACCCGTGGCACCATATCACCGTAGCCATGTCGTCCTACTTGTTCAAGCACTCTAGTGTGGGAACATTATTGCACTATGCCAAACACCGCAAGTTCGACTACACCCGCAAGCCACCCAAACCATTATCCCCATCTTCGTCAACAGACGACCTCCCCTTTCCAAAAGAAGAAGTACCCACAGAGGGCGCTATTGGCGCGGAGCTCAAGCAGCATCAAACCACACTTGTAGACTGGAGTGGCCCAGACGACCCCAGCAACCCCCAGAACTGGCCTCGGAGTCACAAAATCCTCGTGACGGTCATACTCTGCGTCTACACTTTCGCCGTCTATGTTGGATCTTCGATATACACTTCCTCACAGCAAGCTGTGATGGATATATTTGACGTCAGTCATGTTGCAGCCTCGCTAGGTATCGCACTGTACGTGCTCGGCTACGGTATCGGGTGTCTGCTATTCTCCCCACTGTCCGAGGTTCCAGCTATCGGCAGGAACCCTCCATATGCCATCTCGGGATTCTTGTTCGTTATCCTGTGTATACCCACTTCCTTAGTGGACAACTTCGCCGGGTTGATGGTGCTGCGATTCCTTCTGGGTTTCATGGCATCGCCCTGCCTCGCTACTGCGGGTGCGTCGCTCGCAGATGTCTGGACAATGGCCGAGTTCCCGTTCGCCGTCGCCCTCTGGGCCATGGTCGCCACATTGGGTCCTGCCCTGGGCCCAACACTGTCTTCCTACGCCGTCAAGGATTTGGGATGGCGCTTCTCGAGCTGGGAGCTGCTCATCATCTCAGGACCAGTATATCTCGTGTTGCTTCTTGTTCTACCAGAGAGCTCTGGACCCACTATACTCTACTACAAGGCTAAGCGTATGCGCGAGGAGACAGGAAACCAGGAGCTTATGTCTGACTCGGAACGCAAGCAGAAGAACATGAAGGTCAGCAGTTTGCTATTTGATGCTCTCGTCAAGCCCTGGGAAATCAACGTTCTGGACCCGGCCATCTTGTTCACGACGGTATACATGGGCTTGTGTTATGGTATCTACTACTCATTCTTTGAGGTAAGCACTTCATCAATCTCGTCGCTAAGCGCACTCACTAACATGTTCCAGTCTCTTCCCTTGGTCTACGTCCCCATGTATAACTTCAATGCCGAGACAACTGGCCTCATCTTCCTTTCAATTCTTCCAGGCTGTGGACTCGCATTCACTGTCCACGTCTTGTACCTCAAGTACCGAGTCTTCCCCCGTTTGATGACCGGTACATTTGGCGAGCTTGAAAACCACCTGTGGCCTGGTTTAATTGCCAGCCCTATCATCGCGATTGGACTGTTCATGTTTGCATGGGCATCTCGACCCTCTGTCCATTGGATTGTACCTACGATCGGTCTCGGTCTGACCGTCTTTGGAATCTACTTCATCGCTCAGAGTGTCTTGCTCTACATCCCGAACATCTACCCGCGTTATGCAGCCAGTATCTTCAGCGCAAACAGTCTGAGCAGAAGCGCGTTCGCTTTTGCCGCCATTCTATTTGCACGACCCATGTTCGAGGGCATTGGAATCGATGGAGGAGTGAGCTTGTTGGCAGGGTGCATGGTAATCTGCTCTGTTGGCATTTTCCTCTTGTACAAGTTCGGTAAGAAGCTGCGAGAGCGCAGCCGATTCGCCGTCGCATAGGCTTAGCAACTCTACGATTTATGAATTATTTTACGAGAAGAGGAGACTATGAGGAGGAAATTGATACCAAAGGATGCTAGACGGATTTAATACATAGATGTAATAGTCGAATCTCCCTTCAAGAAATGTCATTTCATCATCAAGCAAGTTGATTCCCATTTGCACAATGTAGATGAAGATGTGAACCGACTCTTGTTATAGCCATGGTGGCGACTTCTCCGACGAATGTCTACACGTATGGTAAGCTTTGTAAGATGGAAGATCAGGGTTTAAACATGGATAGGACGATCGAAGCTTATCGCTCGTGATCGGCCCGGATGAGGATCGACGAACAACGCCAGGGGATGCCGAACTGTGGGTTTAAGCGCACAGGCACATGGCCCGCATCGAGGTATTGCCGGTTACTACTACCAGAACTCTTTTGAGTCAGGCAACGATCAGCAATTGTGTCTACACGACTTGGGTAGGCTGTCCTAGTTACGCGCCTGACACAACTACAAGGCATTGTGAAAAGCCCATGGCTACTCAGGCCACCAACATTCCGCCCCCCCATTTCAGGGACACTTGGCGTGCAGATGAGTCGCGCTCTCCAGCACAGTCGATGGCTTGAAATAGATCCTGCAGGGTCGGCAGCATTACCTGGTGGGTGCGGTTGATTGTCCACAACCTCGTCCTGATCGTAGTCACTAACACGGTAAGTAGATTGCCTTTTTATGAATCTTCCGCAAGAACTCGTGATGTATAGTAAGGCCCGCTGCACTAACCTTATCCTGCCGGTGAAGGAGAACGCAATCAAAAGCGCCAGTTGTCCGACATCCAGTCGATGAAACCAACAACAACCCGCGACTAGACGAGCCTCGGCCAGGCGCATGTGTTCCGGCCGTTGGGAGTGAAGAAAGCCAAGGCGGCAATGAAAGAATCTGTTCCCAAGGGCTATACGGCAGTGTCAGGGCCAGACCTGCCTTTCCGCAAGAGGAATGGTTTGGCGCCGGGTGCCCCTGACTTATGATCGCTTGTGCTGTAGCCGACGCCTCCTAGATCACATCCAACATCAAATCACTCGGACTCCTTCCTGCATTCGGATATATCCACCCACTCCAAATATGCCGCCATGAGGCGTAGCCTTTAGGCAGCCACTGCGGACCCATTCTTTTTTCCTCCGCGATGCGCATCCATCAGGCCTCTGCAGCGTGTCTAATCGACTCTCCAATTCGGCATGAAGATGAGGGCACAGTACTCGTCGTGATATCGTCAAAAAAAAACCCCACCGTTGAATGCGGGATGACGCCTTTCCGGTGCCTGGACTAAGTATCAACGCCACTTCCGGGACTCTGGACCGACTATCCTGTCGTGGCGTCTCCTCTCTCTTCCCTTTGTTGGCACTCAAAGAGCCATACTGCTTTAGCCGAGATTGAAGTTTCCCATGGCCGGAAGCGGCCTGTCCACCGGTCGTCAGTCTAAAGTAAGACATCATATGTCAGGGTTCCTAGAAGCAACCCATTCTCAAATTTAGCGCTCGCCTAGGTGCACAACTTCTTGGACGCCGTACCTGACTTCAGACTCGAAGCAGTTAGGTCCAAGGCCTCCGCACCAATGGAAGCGCAAATCTACAGCCATCTTTCTGTTCCTGCAGCTTCATGAGATTTGCCGTCCCATCCTGCACAATGGCATGGTTGCCTGCTGCTAAACGGCGCTGGTCAGTGACTAGCCACTCATGCAGGTACCACGCCATGAGGCCCTGAGGCCAAAGGTAGATATAGTGTAATCTCCCATTTCTACTTTTCTCATCGCGAGTCGCTCTGTTTTTCCAGTTCGCCCTCAAGTCGCTCTCTTTCGAGTCTCGATCCTAATTGCAGCATTTTTGCTTGCGTCCCTTCTTTGAGTTCGCTCATCACAATCTTTACTGGCCTTTGGCCGTCCTATCATTTCCATCACGTGTTGTTGTTCATACTGTTCATACTGTAATTATGGTCGCCTCAATCTTCTCACGCGTTGCTTTTGCAACTGGACTTCTTGCCTCCACTGCTTCGGCCGCTTACGATGCCTCCTCCAAGTCAAACGTCGCTGTTTACTGGGGACAGGGAAGCAACCAGATATCGTTGCTCGAAGTCTGCTTGGATCCTAACGTAGACATTGTCAACATTGGCTGTAAGTAGTCCTGGATAAGATAGACATAGCGGGTCCTCAGTCAAGCTGAGGACGTGCCAATGTCTGATCGAACCAGTATAACTACCAATAGAACACTACTAATACAATCATCCCAATAGTCATCAACAAGTTCCCTACGAAGCGAGGCGAATATCCTGGATCAAACCACGCCAATGCCTGTGGTGACGCAACTTACCTTGACCCGACTACCAACAAGCCCAGCAAGCTACTCAGCTCATGCCCTGGCGTTGGTGAGGCCATCAATGCTTGTAAGAGGAGAGGCAAGAAGGTCATGCTCTCGCTCGGTGGTGGCTGGCCTACAGACTACTACCTCCCAACACCAGATGTTGCAAACTGGTTTGCTGAGTTTTTGCTCGGAGCTTATGGCCCTCCTACCGCCGAGTGGAAAGCTGCCGGCAAGCCCCGTCCCTTCGGCGATGCCTATGTTGATGGTTTCGATCTCGACCTCGAAGCCGCAGAGTGGGATGTACCGTCCAAGGACATGCTCTACCTGAACTACGATGTCTTCGGCAAGTACATCAAGGCACACTCCAAAATGCTTCTCTCCGGTGCTCCCCAGTGCGTTGTCCCTGATGCTAGGATTTTCCTTGCTCTCAAGGAGGTTCCTTTCGATTTCCTATTCACCCAGTTCTACAACACCTGGAGCTGCTCTGCTGCCAAGGCCGTACAAGACATGAAGAACAAGGCAGAGAGCACCTTCACCTTCACCACCTGGATTTCTTGGCTCAAGGCAAACTCCAAGAACCCAGACATCAAGCTCTACCTTGGATTGGCTGCTGGTCCAGATGGTCTTCCTACACACAAGGACCACTACCTCACCCCTGAGGATGCCAATATGCTTGTTCAGTCCCTTCAAGGCGAAAGCTTGTTTGGTGGTGTTATGCTTTGGGAGGCGACCGTCTCTAAGAACAACCCGACTTATGACCAGTCCTACGGTACCTGGATGAAGTACGCTGTTGAGGGTACTTTCAAAGACAAGTACCACCCTGTTGTATCTTCTAGCTCTGTGGTCTCTTCTACAATCACACCTTCCAGCACTCCTGCCTCCAGCACTCCCGCATTCAGCACCCCAGCTTCAAGCACTCCGGTTCCCAGCATCTCGGCTTCTACCTATCCTGCCTCCAGTGTC